ACACGCTCCACATCATGAGTCATCAGGACAATGCAAACTTAAACCCCAGTGACTCTCTCTATACAGCTGTGTTGACTAAAGTAACAACATATCTGCTGTGCAGACTGGCAAGAATGTGGGGCCTTGCTGATACGTTTGAGCTTAAACCTCCCATCTCACTTTGGTTTTTGCTTATGCAAGGAATCTACTCCCTTTTATCTCCTTGCTTTACTGTTTGTGGATCTAGTGTTTTGAGATTGTTATTCCACCATGTTCCATTCACCATATTAGTTCCTAGGGTTGCCACAGCAAATGACACCAAAAAAGTGACTTATAAGAGTGGAAATGTATTATCTCGCAGTTCTGAGGGCCAGGCACCCTGAAATGAAGGTATCCACAGAGCCATGCTTTCTCTGAGCCCCAAGGGAGAATCTGTCCTTGCCCCTTCTAGTTTCTGGTGCTCCCAGCAAACCTTGGCGTCCCTTGGCTTATAGCTGCCTCATGCCAATCTTTGCCTTGGTTGTCATATGCCTTCTTCCCTTTGTGTGTGTGTTTGAACTTCCTTCTCCATTCTCTTATAAAGACACTAGTCATTGGATTTAAGATTCACTATAACCTGGTATGACCTCATTTTAACTACATCTGCAAAGACCCTATTTCTATGTAAGGTCACACTGTGAGTGATATGGTTTGGTTCTATGGCCCTGCCAAATCTCATTGTGAAATGTGATCTTCACTGTTGGAGGTGGGGCCTGGGGGGAGCTATCTGGGTCACGGGAGTGGATCCCTCATGACTTACTGCTGTCCTTGCGATAGTGAAGGAGCTCTGGCAAGATCTGGTTGTTTAAGTGTGTAGCACCTCCCATCCTCCACTCTCTTTCTCTTGCTGCTGCTTTTGCCATGTGACATGCCCACTCCCCCTTCACCTTCCACCGTGAGTAAAGCTCCCTGAGGCCTCCACAGAAGCAGAGCAGATGCCAGCACCGTGCTTCCTGTGCAACCTGCAGAACCATGAGCCAACTAAACTTTTCTCTTTATAAACAACCCAGTCTCAAATATTTCTTTATAGCAATGCAAGACCAGCCTAACACAGCAAGGTTCTGGGTGGATATGATTTTTGGGGAGGCAAGATTCAACCCACTACACTCATCTCCTTCCTCCTGAGCTGTATATTCTTTGATTACTCTAGTGGAGATTACAACATGACTCTATGACTTTTTAAAGTGTAATGTAAATTAGATCTTACATTATTTCCCAGAGAGTATTGTGTACTAAGATCACTTTAACTTCATGTAGCCCCCTCCTGAATTTTGTGATCTTCTTGCCATGTATTTTATTTCTATCAATATTTTACAACTTCTAAGACATCTTATACAGTAAATATTCACTTAGATTTCCCCATATGTGTCCTCCTTTTGTTACACTTCATTTCCTTTTTGACTTCTTGCTTCCATCTGTGATCATTTTCATTCTGCCTAATTATCTTTTTATTTTCCTTAGTGCAGATCCTGCTGGTGACACATCCTGTCAGCATCCAGAGAATGTCATTTTCCTGTCCTCATTTTTGAGGATCTTCTTCCCAGATGTAGAATTCTAGTTGGGTGCTTCTTTTCTCTCAGACAGTAAATATATCATTCCATCATCCTCTGGCTTCCATCATTCCTACTGAGAAGTCATCTGTAAATGTTATTGTTGCTTCTTTAAAGGTAGTATCTTTTTGTTCCCCTCTGGTTGTTTTAAAATTTTTCTCTGTCTTTGGATTTCTGCCCCAATATGCACAGGTGTAGTTTCCTTTGTATTCACCTTGCTCAAGATTCTTAAATGCTTTTTGCATCTATGGGTTAATGTTTTTCATCACTTTAAACTTCTTGTCTATTATACCTTCATATATTTTATTACCCTTATTTTACTCATCTCCTTCTATGATTTCAACCATTTATATTCAAATTATTTACAACCTAAGGGCATGCTTATTACTCCACTTTCTTTATTTCCCTCTTTTCTTTCCCATCTCTGTACTCAGGCTTGACATTTCCTCATCTCCCTTTCTTCACTAATCTCTTTGGGTTTGTCTAATATGTTGTCTAGCTAATCTACTTAGTTCTTAATTTCAGCTATTATGTTCATTTCCAGAATTACTGTTTGATTCCATTTCATAAATCTAGTTTGACACTGAAATTCTCCATTTGTCATCTGTTTTCCCGAGCAAGCTAATCAGCACTACTTTAAATTCCAGTTTGACACTTCTAATATCTAAAGGCCCTGTGTATCTGTTTCTCTTGTTTGTTTTTTCCTCTTGGTCCTTTGGTCAGTTGGTTTGTCTTCTAGTATCCCTAGTAATTTTTGACTGAATCCAGGACTTCATGAAAATTTCTGAGATGATTTGAGCCTCTGTTGATGCTGCTATCTCCAGAAGAGATCACTTTAGTTTCCGGGAGGCAGTTAGGCTATGGACAAATTACATGAGTTGAATACGAGCTGATTTAAAGGTGGGCTTCATTCTTCTTTCTGGTTTTTCCTTCATCCTAGGGAGTAATCTTTCACTTATATTCACTGTTTCCAACTGAAAGTCTGTTTTTGTTGTTGTTGTTGTTTTACCAGAATCCCTCCCCCTTGTCAGGTCCTGAACTCTCTGTTTTTGTCTTCCAGTTGCATGAGACCCACTCAAAGCTGTGCTCAGCCTCAGCCTCACGGCTATGGTCTGTGAATCAGTAAATGCCTCAATAAGAAAATCCACAAGAAATATTGGACTGACTTCGGTACACTTTCTCTCTAATGGTGATTCACTCACTCAAGTCTCAGCTGTCTTGGTGCCTCCTGGTGCCCTCAAAGACAGATTTTGTTTGTTAAACCAGGTTTCCTAATTTTTCTCGGCTAGATGGCCAGTCTGATGTAAGCCAATTCCCCACACACGAAAACAGAACTTGACAGAGAGTTTTATACAGCATAAGAAAAAGGTGGCACAGTGGAATCGTTCTCAGAGCTCAGAATTACTCTTCAATAATTTCTCCAAAAACATTTATTATTTCAGCCCATTTTTATGAAGGATCTTCCCTATTCCAGGCATTATTTTAGGCCCTCAGAGATTGAGTGGTGAACATGATAAACACACTTCCTGCCCACATGAAACTTATCTTTGAATAATGGGAGCTGAGGACAGCAAAGAAAATGAGCAAGAAAAGTTAGGAGACTTGGCACAGAAATACTGATGATGGGCCAGGCATGGTGGCTCGCATCTGTAGTCCCAGCAATTTGGGAGGCCGAGGCAAGAGGATCACTTAAGCCCAGGAGTTCAAGACCAGTTGGGCAACATAGCAAGACTCTGGTCTCTACAAATTTTTTTTTACAAAAAGAAATGTTGATAATGGGACTTGAACTATCGATGATTGAAGCGCATCATAAAGCTATTATAGCCTTTAAGAGCAGAACCAAATCCACAACCCCAAATGGACCAGTTCAAACTTTTCTTTCCCATCTGAAACCCAGTCCTATCCCCAGCGTTCCCACAGGCACGTCTGTGGGGGCCTCGGGGAAGGCCGTGGGGAGGGACGTGGCCTCTCCTTCCTTGCTCCTCTTATCCCTGTTTTGGGCTCTATCTCCTCCAGGGATGGGTACGGGGGAAGGAATGTGCAGGGCCACCACTGTGGGGCTCACTGGCCCCTGCTGCACCTTCTCTCCGGCTGCTCCAGTGATCCTGTGCTTCTATCGGCTGCTTCTGCCTCTTCAGTGAGGACCCACTTCAAAGAGGAGATGCCCCCAGGGACAAGAGTTGGAGGACTCTCTCCCTGGGACACCACACTTTGCGTAAGGCTGAAAGGCCACCCCTGCCTCCACAGCCTGCTTCTTACAACCTGGGCAGCACTGGTGGGGTGTGGCAGCCGGCCATAGCTGGTCAGCTTCTGTCTTATTTTAGAAAGCCCTGTAGGGACAGGTCTGACCCAGAAGGTTAGCATTATTTTTAGAATGAGAAGTCGTTTCCAACTTTGCCAGATTCAGAGCAACAAAGACATTCTACTCAACATCGTATAATATGTCTTATTTTACAATGAAATATACATATGTGTACTTGAATTTTTAAATAAAAATGTGAAATCACAATCAATATTATAATTAGCTGGTGGGTAGCAATGTTCCTGGAAAGTGATCAGGGCCATTTAAGAAGGCGAGAAGCTCGGGACTTCATTATGCCCTGTGGTGACAACAATTCATCATCAAATATTGTGCTGCTGTGAGAGTTGCCTATGGCTGACCTGGGGGTGTGTGATGGGCCCTGTGGGCAGGGCTGGTGAGAAAAAGATGCTTGCAGTGCCAGGCACACAGAGGAGATGGCTCCAGCAGTGGTGAGGGCTGGTGGTCGCCTGCTGCCTAGCACAGCCACTTCACAGGTTCAGAACCCAAAACCACAGCCCAGGATGCTGTCATTGTGTCTGAACAAGGAGCAGGCTGAGCCCACGATCCTGGCCCTGGAACAGTCCTGCTGCCTCCCAAGCAAAGGACAAGGTGGGCAGTGAACAGAGGGCAGGAGGCACAGAGGCCATGGGGATTAGAAATTGGCGAGTCCTGTGTCGTGCAGCAGGGGAAGGACCATGCTACAGGAAGACTTTGCACCACGCGAAATAATTCCTAAGGGCTGCCTTCCTGCAGAGGGAGCCCATGTCCTGAGGTTGCCGGGTGGTGCCCCAGCACCTCCCAGCAGGTGCTGGACGATGCCCCAGCAACCAAGGATGGCCCCAGGCACATCCCACCCACATCCCACCCGCCGGATGCCCATAGCCCTCCTTGCCTCCAGAAGCCAGTTGGGATCAGGCCCACCCCTACTCCCACCCCTGAGGTTCCACATGTGACAGGCTATAGCCCATGTGTGAAAGGAGATTTGGGAGCTGGGCAATATCACCAGCAAACAAACACCCCTAATCATAACAGACGCCGCCTCTCAGCTACAAGGAAGGGGAAGCTGTGGGCCCTGGAACAACAAGGCCAGGAGGGATATAAAAGCCAGAGAGCCCCAAGAACCTCACACACTCCCACACTCACACCTCCCCCAGCTCACCTCCTCCCCACCCCAGCATGGCCGCGTCCACCATGTCCCTCTGCTCCAGCGCCTGCACTGACTCCTGGCAGGTGGACGACTGCCCAGAGAGCTGCTGCGAGCCCCCCTGCTGTGCCCCCAGCTGCTGCGCCCCAGCCTCCTGCCTGACCCTGGTCTGTACCCCAGTGAGCTGTGTGTCCAGCCCCTGCTGCCAGGCGGCCTGTGAGCCCAATCCCTGCCAATCAGGCTGCACCAGCTCCTGCACACCCTCGTGCTGCCAGCAGTCTAGCTGCCAGCCGGATTGCTGCACCTCCTCCCCGTGTCAGCAGGCCTGCTGTGTGCCCGTCTGCTGCAAGCCTGTGTGCTGCAAGCCTGTCTGCTGTGTGCCCATCTGCTGTGGGGCTTCTTCATGCTGCCAGCAGTCTAGCTGCCAGCCGATCTGCTGCACCTCCTCCCCCTGCCAGCAGTCCTGCTGTGTGCCCGTCTGCTGCAAGTCTGTCTGCTGCAAACCCATCTGCTGTGTGCCTGTCTGCTCTGGCACTTCCTCTCCATGCTGCCAGCAGTCTAGCTGCCAGCCGGCTTGCTGCACCACCTCCTGCTGCAGACCCTCCTCCTCCGTGTCCCTCCTCTGCCGCCCTGTGTGCAGGCCCATCTGCTGTGTGCCTGTGCCCTCCTGCTGTGCCCCCACCTCCTCCTGCCAGCCCAGCTGTTGCCGTCGAGCCTCCTGTGTGTCCCTCCTCTGCCGCCCCGCGTGCTCCCGCCCGGCCTGCTGAAGCCTCTCCTCAGGCCAGAAGTCCAGCTGCTGATGGCCATGTCCCCTAGGGCCAGCCAGGCTCAGGCCCCACCTCTCTTCCAGCCCTTGGAAGCCCCTGACCTCCCACCCCACCCAGCCTCAGCACAGCTCAACACAGAGAAGGAGCAGCCCCACCCACAGCTGCCCAGCCCAGGGGTGGGGTCTGAGATGCTCACTGGCTCCTCCCTGACCTCCCCCAGGGTGGGCGAGCCCTGACTACTCCTCATGGCGCTTCCTGGCTGCAGATCACGACCCTCTGCTGGTCGGGTATGGGCCCTCCTGACCCAGGTCTCGCATCCAGGAGTGTCACCCTCTGCCTCTGGGCACCAATAAAGCCTCTGCAGCCCCAGCTGACTCAGTGCTGACTGTCCGCACCCAGGGCGGGATGGGGCAGAGTGGGGCCTGGCCTGGCTCTGGGGGGCTGGGCCCTGTGGATCTCTTTACATCTCCAGCCAGGGGGATGTGGGGGGCTCTTGGGTGACACTTGGAAGCTCCTGTCCACCTTGTGGCACGTTCTGCTGTCTGGCTCCCCTCCCAGGTCCTGTGGAGCCCAAAAGCTTTGCTCACTGACTGAATCCCACAGACACTACATGGCTCGGGCCAATGTCCCACTCACCGTGGGTAGAAGCAGCTCCTTCCCATGGCAAGGGTTGGGGCTATCCCAGGGGCTGGCAGGCTCCAGTTGTGCTGGGAGGTGGGAGACGGGCAGTGGGGGGCGGGTATGGAGGCTTGGGCTCCAGCTGCCCCGGTGCTCAGGAGTTCCACTCGGAGACAGCTTGGCCATCCTGGCCTCCTACGCACACTCACAGACACTCAGGACGCCCCCTGCTCCAACCCTGGGATTGCCGCTGGGATGCAGAGCAGAGAACAGAGACATGGCCTCCAGAGCTCCCTGTGCTGGGCTGGATGGGCGGAGGGCCCATGGGAACAGAAAGGTCTCAGGGTGCCGATGACAGAGGAGTCCCAGGACAGTGTGGGAATGTGTCCAGACCAGAGAGCAAGAAGGAGGCCTCCTGGGGGCAGGTTCTTAGCTCCTCCCACGGGACAGGCAGACGGCCAGAGCCACACTGTCCCCTCCAGTCCTCACCCACGCCCCCTGCCCCATGACCTGGGGGTGCAATGCTGCCCACTCTTCTTGCCTTAGGAGAACACAGTCGGGTTTTGAGGCCTCGGCCATACTCTGTGGACACAAAGGACCCCCACACCTGAGGGGCTGCATGTGTCAGCTCAGGCTGCTGTGACAAAGTCCACGGTTTGGGGGCTCGAGCCACACACAAGGGGTCCCTCACAGTCCTGGGGCTGGAAATCGAGGCCCAGGTGTGGCAGGGCTGGTTCCTGAAGCCTCTCTCCTGGGCTTGAAGACACAGTCTCCTCCCTGTGTCCTCATGGGGCTGTCCCTCTGTGTGTGTCTCTGCCCTCCTCTCCTCTTCTCACGAGGACACCAGTCATTGGATTAGGGCCCATCCATAGGACCTAATTTTAACTTAGGACTTCAACATGTGAATTCGGGGGAATCACAAGTCAGCCCATAATAGGGGGCTCTGGCTTTGGCCCTTGAGGCAGGAGTGAGGGTGGCAGTGAGGCCACCTGTGCCTTGAAGACCCCAGTGGCACCTGGCTGGAGCAGGCACTCCCTGTCCATAAACTGCAAGGATGGACATTTGGACAGGGACACGGCCCTCTGCTCACGTGGACCCCTTCACCCACTGAACAATGCTGTCCAGAGACCTCAGACACCCACCAAATGGTTCCTGTTTAGGCATCCTGTTGTCCCCAGTGCCTGGCTCCTAATGGGAATTCTCACTGGTCCCGCCGCAGGAAGCATGGCTTACGTCCAGACGGGGAAGGTGGGGATGGAGCGCAGGCCAGGCAACTGTGCTGGAAGAGACAGGCCGCACAGGGATGGGTGCAGGGAAAGTGGGGGCCACAGGGCTGTCGAGGGGGTCAGGAGCGTCTTGCACAGGCTTCCTGAGTGGTATGGAGAGTGACCTAGGGCTTCAGGGTCCGGAGTACACACACTCACAGTGATAGAAACCAACTCAGGATTTAGGAATGGGAGTTCTTGGAGACCTTGATGAGGGGCTTTCCAGTCATGTTCTGAGGGCAGGGGCATCCTGTGGTAGGCGGAGGGGGAACAAGCCCTGGGGAAGTTAAATGTGAAGGTAAATAATTTTTTCTCCAAAGATCTAACAGAACAAGGCAGGGGAGGAGCACAGTAGGGATGGCTTCCAGAAGGACTAACACATAGGGCTTGCCTTCTTTTACCAACTCAGATTCCCTCCAGCCAGAGAAGCAGCTACCAGAGGCTTGGTCAGAACATGTAAAGGTAAATGAACCAGTCACTGCCACCTGGGCAAAGGATATCTGTTGGGAAAACAATGGACACCCCAAAAAACCTGGGAGGAAGAGCTGAGAAATTAGACACTTTGGGGAATAAGGGCGTTGGAAGATTCCACATATTCTTGGGAGTCTACAAGACCCCCACGCATGCCCGTGATGGGGCACAGAAAAGACCTGAGACGCTCTCAGTGCTCACCTCTGGCTGAACTGCAGGCTCTGAGTAAGCAGGAAGTGAAGGGGAAGGCAGGAAGTGAAGGGGAAGGCAGGAAGTGAAGGGGAAGGCAGAGTCACAAACCGCCCAGGTGAGCGCTCAGGGTGTGGACCAACACACAGAGCCCAGCTACAAAGACTGGGAAAAAAACATCTTTTGACTCCAGGTGTTTAAGAAACTCTGTCAAATTACTATCTGCGCACTAAGCAAATGGAATAGTGACCCCCTTCATGACAAAGAGTATAGTCATTACTAAAATAGTTTAGGAAAGTCACTTAAAAACAAAACAAAAAACTACTAGCCATGCAACCAGCAACAACAAACCACAGGGAAGAGAGAGAATCTGCCATCCAGAATTATCAAATTATAATATTCTAAATGTCAAGTTTTCAGCAAAAATTATGAGGCATGCAAAGAAGCAAGAATGTACCGTTCATTCACAGAAAAAAAAAAAAAAGGCCAATTAGTAAAAAATGTCCTTGAAGCAGCCCAGGATTGAATTTACTAGACAAAGTCTTTCCATTAACTCTCTTAAATATACTCAAAGAGCTAAAGGAAACCATGGCAAAAGAACAAAGAGAAGAAAACAACATCTCAACCAAGAGAGAATATCAATAAAGAGAGAGATTATAAAGAGGAATCAAATAGAACTTCTGGAGTTGAAAAGTATAACTGATACGAAAATTTTGCTAGAGAAGCCCCACAGCAGATTTGAGCAGACAGAAGGAAAAATTAGAGACCAGGTGGATAGGTCATGTGAAATACTCCAGTCTGAAGGGCATAAAAGCCAAAAGAGGCCGAGCATGATGGCTCACACCTGTAATCCCAGCACTTTGGGAGGCTGAGGAAGGCAGATTGTTTGAGGTTGGGAGTTTGAGAACAGCAAACAGAAAAATAAAATTAATTAATTAATAGCTGGGCGTGGTGCCTGTAATCTCAGCTACTCGGGAGCCTGAGGCAGGAGAATCACTTGAATTAGGGAAGCGGAGGTTACAGTGAGCCAAGATCATGCCACTGCACTCCAGCCTGAATGACAGAGTGAGACTCCATCTCAAAACAAACAGAAACAAAAGAATTTTTAAAATGAACAGAATTTAACTGGCCTGTAGGACAACATCAAACATACCAACAGCACACTTAACAGCAGGGTCAGAAGAAGAGCAGAGAGAGAATGGAGCACTCAAAAATATTTGAAGAAAAATGGTAGAGACAGAAAGTAAAATGGTGGTTGCCAGGGGCTTGTGGGGAGGAGGAATGTGGAGTTAGTGTTTGATGGGGACAGAGTTTCAGTTTTCCAAGATGAAAGTTACGAGGCCAGATGGTGGCGCTGACTGCACTGCATTATGAATGTGTTTAATATCACTGAATGGTACACTTAAAATGGGATAAATTTCGTGTGTATTTTACTACAATACTTTTTTAAATATTTGAAGTAATAATGGCCAAAAACTTTCCAAATATGATGAAACTTATGAATCTACACATTCAAGAAGCTCCATGAGCTTCAAGTAGAATAAATTCAAAAAGATCCACACAGAAAGACAAAATTAAATTACTGAAAGCCAAAGACAAAAAGAGAATCTTGAGAGCAGGAAGAGAGAAGATTAACAGCCAATTTCTCATCAAAAACCATAAAGAACAGAAGGCAATGGGATGTTGTACTTAAAGTACTGAAAGAGAAAACACTGTCCACCAAGAAGTCTATGTCAAGTGAAATGATTTTTCGAAACTAAAGGAGAAATTAGGACACTTCTGAATAAATAAATATTGAGAGAGTTCATTGCCAGTAGGCCTGCCCTACAAAAACTGACAGCTCGGGATGAAATCAAAGGGTACTAGACAGTAACTTGAAGCCATATTAAGAAATAAAGAGACGGCCGGGCATGGTGGCTCAAGCCTGTAATCCCAGCACTTTGGGAGGCCAAGATGGGTGGATCACGAGGTCAGGAGATTGACACCATCCTGGCTAACATGGTGAAACCTCGTCTCTACTAAACATACAAAAAATTAGCTGAGCTTGGTGGCGGGCACCTGTAGTCCCAGCTACTCAGGAGGCTGAGGCAGGAGAATGGCGTGAACCCGGGAGGCGGAGCTTGCAGTGAGCTGAGATCCGGCCCCTGCACTCCAGCCTGGGCGACAGAGCGAGACTCCATCTCAAAAAAAAAAAAAAAAAAAGAAAGAAAGAAAGAACTGGCTGGGTGCAGTGGATCACACCTGTAATCCCAGCAC